CTTTGTATGCTGTAGGGTAGCTTGTGAATGTACTCCAGGTGGAACTAAAGTTTTATTTAAGTGTTGAATATAATTCAAATCATTAATGAAAATGCAGTATAAAAGTATAAAACAAATGTAATGGAGTGAAAATTACATTATTTACCTCTGAATTGTAGTTGGATAGGATTACCAATTAGCAACAAATTGAAATACTCAAGTGAAGTACAAGTCCCTCAAAATGGTACTTTAGAACAGTAGTTGAGTAAATCTTCTTAGTTACCGGTACTTTACACCACTGTTAATAAAGACAGTAACTTATATGATCCGCATTTGTCCATCACGATCAGCAGATTGGTGCGTAACTTCAAATGTTGCTGCTGCAGGGAATTGTGGGAGAGCATTATTTCCTGTCGTAAAGGATAGACCAATATATCCTTTGATAGCAAAGAAAGCCTTGAAGCTTCTTTCCTAACATCTACAGAATTCAAGCAGCTCTTATCATGGCTGCCACTGAGGAACTTCATGGTCTCATTTAAGAAAACCCTCCATAAGCAACAAAGGACTGGATAAAGCTGTTCAGCTGATGAACATAATGTGTGTGTGTGTGTGTGTAGGGGGACATTGTGTCCTGTGCAGGGACACACATTCACGTGTGGAGCATCAACGGCAGCCCCATCGCCAGCGCCAACACCTTCACGGGGCGCAGCCAGCAGATCCTGTGCTGCTGCGTGTCCGAGATGAACGAGTGGGACACGCAGAACGTCATCGTCACCGGACACTCGGACGGCGTTGTCAGGGTAACAATGGCAATAATACTTACTTGTGTATTCCTTGTTTCTAATTTATGTTTTTCTTGTTGTGCTTCTGCTTTTTTTTAATATATATATATATATTTTTTTTTTTTTGATTGAGTCAGGCACACTGATTTTACATTTATACATTCAATATATATATTTTTTTCCTTTCCCCCCCTCCCGGTCCTAGTTAGTAAATTAAATAGCTACATAAATAGATACATGTATAGGTAAAAGTAATGAAGAAGATNTTTTTCAGAACTTTGACTTTTTTAAGTTTTTACAGAAGAAACAAACTTTGCAACAAGGGTGTGATTTGTCATTGCCTTCCTAAGTAAACACAGTGTGTTGTAGCATTTTAATTTAAAACATAAACCAAAAATCTGAATCAGACTTGAATTGGATAAACAAGACAAGATCTACATTAGACTTTCAACTGAGATTCCTCTCCCCTCTGAATGGGTTCAGCAAACGCTGACCACACATTAGTTCATGGGAATAAATGAGTAAATGCAGAGTGAGGCGTTACGTCAACAGAATTCATTTACTTTGGCCTCTGTTAGAAAAAATAATATCCAAGACAGATTAAAACCAGCCTAAAGGCAGAATGAATAATCATCACACACCCTCTGCACTTTCTTTTTAAACAAACACACATACTTGTGACAGCATGCCAGCTTCACTTATCCCTTTACTTTTCTATTCACTCATTCATATTTTGTTGGTGACATATGATTGGAAACCCCTCGTGTTTTGTGTGAGTAATATAACTCATTCTTTTTCTTTTTTTTGGAGTCAGGAACAATGAGTTTAATGTTTTTTTTTTTTCCCCTTTCCCCCCCTCCCGGTCCTAGCTAGTAAATTAAATAACTAAATAAATAGATACATGTATTGGTAAAAGTAAAGTAATGTAGAAGATAATATTAAAAGAAAATGAATAGATAAGGAAATAAAGAATAGAATACATGTACCCATATACTCACATATGTATACCCACATATACACATACATGTGTGTACATACCCACACATGTACACATGCACATACATGTACATACATACATTTATACAAAGTCATACAAATAAAAAAAATACATAAAAATACAAAATAAACAGATAAAAAGAGACAACAAAAAAAACATGCACATACATTCCCCCCCTTTCTTCTTAATTTAGTGTCTTAAGTTCAGCTATGTAGAGCCCCAGACAGAATCAAATAGTTTTGAGGAGCCCCTCAGGTTATATTTCATCTTCTCCATGTTCAGGTACATCTTTAAATCTTCAAGCCATAGAAATGCTTTAGGTGGTATAGAAGATTTCCATTCTAGGAGTATTCTTCTACGTGCTAATAGAGATGCAAAGGCTATACTGTCTTTAGTTTTCCTCTTCAACATTCGATGGCCAGGTAGTACTCCAAAAATGGTAGTTTCTGCACATGGTGTCAATACCACGTCCAAGGCCTCAGTAAGGTGTTTGAAAATGCTTGTCCAGTATCCTTGTAGGCGAGGACAAGACCAAAACATATGAGTCATGTTTGCTGGTGACGTGTGGCATCTGTTACAGGTATCCGTAACATTTGGGTATATTTTGGAGAGTTTAGAGTTGTTGTAATAGATACGGTGGACAACTTTTAGTTGTATAAGATTGAGCCTGGCACAGGACGTACTATTGTTCACTCTCGCTAATGCGCCATCCCAGACCTCATCATCTATGGCTTGGACTAGTTCCTCTTCCCAATCTTGTTTGATTTTACCAAGAGATGTTTCTGTGACACGGGAGACGGAATTGTAAATTCTTGAAATCAAACCTTTTTTGGTTGTTAGAGTGTCCAGAATTGAGTCAATTATTGAATCCGGAGGGATATTGGGGAAGGAAGGGTTGTTCAGTTTAACCCAGTTTTGGACCTGGAAGTAGCGAAATAGATGAGTGCCTGGGAGGAAACATTTGTCAGAGAGTTGGCTAAAGCTACCAAATTTTTTTTTTTATGTAAAGGTCCCTTACTCTGATAAGACCTAATCTCTGCCACATAGAGAAGGCCCCATCAGTGTAAGGGGGGAGAAAGAGATAGTTGTTGTGAATGGGACTATGTATAGAGGATCCACAGAGTCCATGAGCCTTTCTGAATTGGGACCAAATTCTTAGGGTGGAAACAACAATCGGGTTATTCGAATTTTGAGTTGGCCAGCTGGGTAATGTAGATCTAAGCAGAGCCAAGAGTGAGGTATTAGGACAGGATTTGGCTTCAAGCTCACACCAACTCAATGTTGGTTCCTTAGTCCATAGAGTTACTTTGTGGATATTGGCTGCCCAATAGTAGTGTCTTATATTTGGAAGCGCTAATCCTCCTGTAGATTGTTGTCGTGCTTCTGCTTTGATGTAGTATTCACTTGTTAGGCTTTTGTACAAGCCTTTGCTAATGCATGTGGCAGGTCTTAAGGTGTGGACAATAAATAAGCAGCAATTAAAAGTTATGAAAGGAATTGCAATATATTTGTTGTTATCCCTTCTCAGGCCAGATAAATATCATTTATTATGAAGGCGCTAAAGTCTAAATAATTTAATTTCTTCATTAAAGTAGCTTTGTCTCTAGGGACTTGGGAAGCGAAAGGTAACCGGTTCAAGTCCTGATAGGACCAAGAGGCAGAGTGCAGAATGTCTCCTCCTGGGCACTGCCGAAGTGTCCTTGAGCAACTCTTAACCCCCAACTCCTCACTCTGACACTCCTCACTAATGCATGTGTATAGACCCTATTTGTGCATTTGGGTATTTCGGCCTCCTGTGATATGAGAAAGAAGACGATGCGCCTTTATTAATCCCTGAGGGGAAATTCTGTTTTTCACAGTGTGTTGAATTCACACAGTCCAGTACAATTACAAACATTCATAGGAATACAGATATGCAAACACAATTTGTTTTAACATAGTAGTGCCAGAGCGAAGGGGCTACCAGGTTTGGTATGAGCGGGACTTGAACCGGCGGCCCAGACCGAGCCGTTGCCTCACAATAAGGATTCTGCATCTGACCCATCCTAGTCTGAGGAGCAGTGGGCTGCTATTTGGTTCAGAGCCCAGGGAGCCGTGTAGGGTTCGATGGATTGCTCAGGTGCACCTCAGTAGTACTTGGTCATTCTAGGACTTGAACCGGCGACCTTCTGGTTCCCAAGCTAAGACTGAGCCACCACCGTCCTGAGTGACATAATGTAAAAAACACTCCAGAATGGGATATAGAATTTTCCCTAAGGTGTTGATACATGATTTCTTAATCTTGATTCTACACTTTATAAATGTGCTGTGATTTAAATGTTACTTATACTTAATTTAATCTCTCTAATATTATTTTGTAGTTTTGGAGAATGGAGTTCCTCCAGGTCCCAGAAACCCCTGCTCCACAGCCAGTAGAGCCAGATGTGCCTGACTGCTGTGCTGACGAGAAGATTGGTGAGTGACAACATGAATACAATCAGATTAACTTCAGTTAGTATGGCAGTGACATGTCCCAAAATATAACAAGGCTTCTACACACTGAAAGTGTCTGAAGCGTGGCTGATGCACCGTCTTTGATTGCTCATATTTTATTTCTGTAAGTATCGATACAGTTCATTTGACTGTGTTGATTAACTCTGTCATTTTGAACTTTTCCCACAGAAGGTGGCGTCAGTCAAAATGGTGAGGAGGACAGCAGCGAGTCGGATGGAGACGAGCCGAGCCTGAGTCAGGAGCCCAAAGCCCCTCACAACCCCTCGGCAGGGGGCAGCCAACCAGTCAGCGCCGTCCACAGACCCAGAGGTACTCCACTTGCTGCCCCTCCCCCCGATGTTAGCACATTCACTCTTTAGCTGCTTTCAGCTGAACTAAAGCTGCTCAATTTTAGATCTCAGCAGCACTTTTGACTTAAAATGTCTAAATCATTCACAGCTCACTCCAAAATGTGTTTTCAATAAGCTGCGTTGTATTTCAAGTCTGTACCAAATGTCATTTGTTTTCCCTTTCAAAGCTTCTGTTGAGGTTCCTGTCTATAATCATATTGAATGCTTGCATTGGAGTAAAACAAATGTAATGCTCAAAGAACAGCGTGCACTTGAATAAGATGATTCATCGATTGATTTTGTTATTTATTTTATTTGTATTAATGTTGCTTTTTGATGGCTAAATATAAGGGTTTCAATCAATTAATATACTCGCAATTCTTTGCAACCTGTCCAAACACGACGTATCGCAAACCAATCGCACATATTTATCTGTTTCTACTGTACCTTAAAGAAATATTTTTGAAGTTTTCAATGTTACTATCAACATGGGAGTGGATAAATATGATTACTTTATACAAAATGTATGTTTAGAGTTGTGGATACTGGAGCAAAATTGGACTCTCTGCTCTCCATCCAAAACCCTCCTGCTTGCTTGCTAAGTCGCTCTAGCTTTGTCATCACCAACATTTATTTCATGCTAGCCAGATGATGCTCCTGCCATGCTAACGCTCACATTGCTGACCTGACACTCCCTTTAAGGTCCTCCAGCCCGCCCCGGAGCCTCGTGGTCGATGGACAGCAGCTCCGACGACTCCCACCGCTGGTCCGACAGCCTCAGCGTCGACGAGAAGGACGGCTTCGTGTTCGTCAACTACTCCGAAGGCCAAACTAAAGTCCCTCACCCAGGCCAGGGCTCAGTGCCGCAGCCTCTGCATCCTTCCTCCATGGACCCACGGGCGTTCAACCAGCTCAGGACCGGTGGGTGTCCGCAAGATTCTTTTTCTGGCACGGTGTTTCAGCTCCTAAGAAAACGCTACGGAGGAACAAGGGGCTCCATCAGCTGGACAAAGGAAGAAAGTGTCTTAGTTTCATTGTTTAAGTCTTTCTCTCTGTGTGTGCACAGGCTACAGATGGGAGCGCCAGCTGGTGTTCCGGAGCAAGCTCACCATGCACACGGCGTTCGATCGCAAGGACAACGCCCAGCCAGCCGAGATCACATCCCTCGCCATCTCCAAGTAAGAGAGCAACAAACTCAGCAGCTACGTTCTAAACACTCGCTGTAGACATCCGGAGAGCTTCTCCTACACACAGTATTTGTGTTTGAGTAAATGGTAGATGTGATGGACAGTCTATCAGATAATGATGAGATACAATTCACTACATATGTTTGATTAAAATGAAAAGAGAATTGGTTTTAACTAGATCAAACTGATTGCTCAATGATTTCTGATGGACATTAGATACAGGGCTGTCAAAAGAAAAAAGGAAATGTTTTCACCTAAAGTGGAGGTTGACTAAAATCAAATGCCTTTTCATTGAATGAACTGGAGTAAAACTATGAAGAATACATGTCAGCAATAAGTACACTAATCTAAATCTAAAAAGTATCCGCCTAAACTGTAAACCACACATCAGAATCTTGAATCTGGTTGGGGTCCCACAGAGCTGACATTTGCAGCGTTAACAACTGAAGATAAATATATGAAATAGAAAAGAGTAGACTTAAAGTGTTTCTATTCAAATCCAGTCTAAGACAATATTTGTGTACTAAAAGCGATTAATCAGAAATCTTTTTAACGGGGAAATTGACACCGTTATAACTGCAAAGGTACGCTGCATATATAAAGGCAAAAATAACAATCTAAAACTAATTAAATGTAAAAAAGTTATCTAACAGCTTTCACTTTAAATCCATTCAAAGCACATTTTTATTAAAAAAGTGGTAATCGCTGCCGTGTTCCTCCCCCTCCTCTCTCCATTGTTCTCCCCTCTCAGGGACCACAGTAAGATCCCTGGTGGGGGACGGGCGCGGTCGGGTCTTCAGCTGGTCGGTGAGCGAGCAGCCGGGCCGCTCGGCAGCAGACCACTGGGTGAAGGACGAGGTGGTGGACAGCTGCTCCGGCTGCACCGTGCGCTTCTCCCTCACCGAGCGGCGCCACCACTGCAGGAACTGTGGACAGCTCTTCTGTCAGAAGTGAGTCCTCCAGTCATACTTCAGTACTGTTCTACACTTAAACATGGACACTGTATTACTTATCCCTTTGTAGCCCCTTGCATTTCTTTTCTGCAGAATGAATATATGACATAAAGGCAACTTTAACATACGCATTTGCTTTGGAAACCTTGTGTTATAAGTTATATGTTCCTCTAGTTTTTGTCACTTTTAATGGTCTATTTAGTAAAAGTTCAACATATTCATCAATGATGGTATTTCAGCTTTATTTGAACACTGATTTTGCAGGACAGCAGTGCGCAAATTTCAAGTATCTTGCATCATTTTCTGTGTTGCCATCTTTGCATTGACTTTATATGAAATTGCGTCTCTTTGCGTACAGTGATTTTACAAATAGCAGTATTTTAGATAAACTTCTCTTTCTCCTGTGAGGGCCTGTATTGTCCCATCTTCCAATGTGCGCTCTGTGTCCTCCTCGCTCTGCAGGTGCAGTCGCTTCCAGTCGGAGATCAAGAGGCTGAAGATCTCGTCTCCGGTGCGGGTTTGTCAGAACTGTTACTACAACCTTCAGCACGAGCGAAGCGCCGAGGACGGCTGCAGAAACTGAGCTCCACCTCCAGGAATCTCCTCTTCCTCCTCCCCCATGTCCCACAACGCTCTCCCTCCAGCCCACTCACCCTTTATCCTCTTGTACGTCCAGTAACACGTGCACAGTAACGCACTGACAGACAGAAACAGGAGCGAATGTCGGCGGTCTCGCGTAGGGGGTGGGAAAAAAACATCTGATCAAAAGGAAAGGAAAAAGAAAATCCCCACTTTGACGACCTACACACCTGGAGGAAGAAAAAAAACAAAAGCAAAAACACCTTTGATGTGGCGCGCTTCAAACAATCACCCGCCTTTTTTGCTTTGATCAAGAACCCGTTCCTCTTTCACCGCGAGACGTAACAAACTTGTTTATATTGTAAATAATAACCATGGCCTTTTTAACTCTAAGAAGAGCAAACAGAACAAAAAATAAGGTCAAAGAGTTAAAAGAAATTGCTTGTAACATAGCGTTGTGACTAACCACTCCTGGCTTTAAAAAAAAAGTAACTAAATGGATTGTGTGTAGTCACGGCGAGGCCAGAGCGAAGGATATGAATGTCAATAATTAATTTCTGTGACTTTACTAGTGGGACTAGGTATGCAACATTTTTTTAATTTCTTTATCAATTTTTGTTGTTGTTTACAAATTGTATTTTTATGTGTTGCCCACAGTGTCAAGCCATCGCCATCACAGAAAGATTTCATATCGTTTTTGTTGCCAATTTCTTTCAATTTTGATGATTTTTCTTTTGATCATCTATTCTGTCCTTTATATGAATTCCCAATTGGAGAATTTTGATTGTTGCTGCTGTCTGAAGACTGGACACGTTATCATTTCAGATTTTATTTTAAAACCATATCACTGCGTTTCAATTATTTTTCTTTTGTAGAAAACACAATTGAAGATATGAATAAGTTCCCGTGATATTTATTTTCCATCTCGGTTTTTCCTAGTTAATTCTTAAATTGCACATGAAAAAGGGATTTTCTTTTGAGTGTTTCTTGCTGTTATCCTCGTGTTGGCATTATTACAGTAAACGTGGCACTCCACACACTTTATTCTCAGTCCTTGGTCGAAATGTTTAAATTGCATTAGCAGCAGCCGCGCACCTTTCAATGAGTTTATTCAGTACAAACAGAAATGATTATATACTTTGGAGTACAAACACCCCAGGCCGGAAATACAAAATATCTCTAAGGTGTTTTGTCTAAAAAGTAAATGCTTTTATATTTGATCAATAATGTATCCTGATTTGGTTTCATTATCAACGCAATTTATGTACTTTAATTTCATTTAAAGCCTAGAGGAATTCATCATGTACAATGGCCACTGTTTAACAATTTACAAGATGTTTTTTCGTACATTTCTGAAATCATGATCTCGTATGATATTTGAGGTTTTTTAACGCAATATTCACGAAAAAAATCTGATATTGTTCATTCATATTGGAAGGGAAAAATGATAACATGGGTAAAGGAAAGAACATCTGTAAAACCTTTTATTTTATATTCTGATGCCGTTCATTTTTGTTCGTACAAAAATGTATTTTTTGCCAAAAAGTCGCCAAAGTGAGATATTTTCAAATTCAAGCATATTTTCTTTTGATGTTAAACAACAGCCAGAACAACAGTAAAGACATGTTGATTCAACAGTAAAATATTCCATAAAATAAACAATGTTTGGGACTGATTGACCCCCATACAAGGTCACCGTGTTGACCACTAAATATCAAAAGTCTTTCTGATGTTTAATATGACTTTTATTTACATGAGCTTGAATTAAACAACAGAAAACTGAATTTGTTAGGCTTACAGGTGGCTCATGTTCCACCATAAAACACAAATTTGACTGCTTGATGGCTGCTGCTGCTGCTGGGTTTAATATTTGGACATTTAGAAAGTGTTTTTGTTTTTATATTAAGTATTCATATAGTTTCTCCTCTCTCCATGTTGTTTTCGTAGTTCTGTGGGCAACAACTGTGCATTCAAGTGCTGCTTTCTTTGCATTTCCTTTTTGTTTTCCACACAGCATCTCAAACATCTAAAAAGAAAAGAAAAAGAAAACACTTTAATATTCACCACCACGGCTCCATGTTGTTCTAATAATCATATGCACTCTTGTTATTGTCTTTATATCATTCTGCATTGACGTACTGTTATTTAGCGTGCAATCATGCCACCTAGCTGAAAAAGGCCCAGTAGCCTTTTATCAATCAAGAGTCCCTTTGCACCTTCACTTGTACAAAAAAAGTCAAGAGGAATTACAGGTTTTTATTAAATGCAGTTTTACGTTGTTATTTTAAGAGAAAGGTGAATTTCACAATGAACTGTACAAAGTATTTATGCAATTATAACTGGTTTTAGATTTTTTTTTTTATGATTATTGCGATTTCAGCAAGTTTGGTTACTTGTTGCATGTCTATTAACACAGCTGACTTTCTGTGTCAGTGCATTGTAAATGTTCTCGGCATTATCATTTTGTTGGTTTTTATTCTTTTATGGATTTTTTGGAGGCATTGTCTGATGAGTTGTGGGTGTACTTTTGTACTCTTTATGGAAAGAATTCAGGACAAATGAGAGAAGAAGAAGAAAGAGAAAAAAGTGGAAGTCTTTGGACTATTTTGGTGGTCCTGTATTAGACTGCATTACTACAGTATCTGGTGTGCAATCTGTGCTAGCTGAATGTTCCTTGTATATTTGTGTTCACTTCATCCTACAGGACGGAAATCAGTAGAGTAACCTCCCCCCCCCCTCCTTACAGCAACAAAATGTTACATAATGCAATAGATCTGGTACTTATTCTGTTAATTTCATTTCAATAAATAATTGCTGTTTACCACCAAAAAAAGACTCAATTATTTTCAATCTTTTAATGTTTTGTTTTTTGTTTTCTTCACAGACATCCAATAAGTGCACTGTGTTTTACTGGTGAAAAAAATAGAAAAAGACATGTAAAGTAAATAAATCCTAAGAACAGCTGGCATTATAACAACGTGGGGGGACAGAGCCTTCTCCGTCGCTGCCCCCTCCCTCTGGAACTCACTCCCCCAACCCATCAGAGACTGCCCTGACCTCACCACCTTCAAACAACTCACCTCTTCAATCTGGCTTTTAATGTGTGAATGTTCTTGTATTGCTTGATTTTAATTAGACTAACTATATGTATTTGTTGTTCTTTTCTTTTCACTATCTTTGTAAAGCGACTTGTAAAAGCGCTTACAAAATAAATGTATTATTATTAAACAGCTGAAAAAAATTAAAATTACAAAAGCTGCGTTAACGTGAAAAATAAAAAATACTCAAAGAGAAACAACATTGATGCTCTGTACTACATACAAGTTACAAATATATACGGTAGATGAAATTGTGTAAGGTTGCCCACTTACAAATAAATGAACAGTATCATTTTAATGGTAGGTTTATTTTACTAATGAGAGAGAGAATATCAAACAGAATATCCAGAAGTGTACATCATAAAAGGGCTATACATTCATTTGCATATCATTTTGGGAAATAAATATTTGATCCCCTTGCAACCAACAAGAATTCTGGCTCCCACAGACCGGTTACATAAGTCATCTTCCTTTACCTGTATAAAAGACACCACAGAATCAATCAATCAGATTCCAACCTCTCCACCATGGACAAGACTAAAGAGCTGTCTCAGGACCTCAGGGACAAGACTGTAGACCTGCACAAGGCTGGGATTGGCTACAAGGCCACCAGAAAGCAGCTCGGTGAGAAGGAGACAACTGTTGGTGCCATTATTTGGAAATAGAAGAAAGACAAAATGAGCATCAGTCGCCCTCGGTCTGGGGCTCCACACAACATCTGGCCCCGTGGGGTATTGATGATCGTGAAAAAGGTGAGGGATCAGCCAATAACTACACTGGAGGAACTTGTGAATGATCTGAAGACAGCTGGGACCACAGTCACCAAGAAAAAACTATTGGTAACACACTACTAGACCATAATGGATCAAGTCCTGCTGCGCCCGCAGGGTCCCCTGCTCAAGAAGAACATGAAAAGCCCGTCTGAAGTTTGCCAATGAACATCTGAATGATTCAGAGAAGGTTTGGTAGAAGATGATTTAGTCAGAAGAGCCTCAAAACCTTCAAGATTGGGAGAGGATCTTCAGAGAGGAGTGGACCATGCTCCTTCCTGAGATGTGCACAAACCTGGAGACCAACTACAAGAAGAGTCTGACCTCTGTCTGTCCAACAAGGGTGTCTCCACCAAGTACTAACACATGTTCTGCAAGGGGATCAAATACTTATTTCCCACAGTTAAATGCCTATCAAATTGTATATTTTATATAATGTCAATTTCTGGATTCTCTTTTAGATATTCTTACTCTCACTGTTAAAATAAACCTACCATTAAAATGATACTGTTCATTTGTTTGTAAGTGGGCAAACTTACAAAATCTGCAAGTGATCAAATAATTATTTCCTTCACTGTACATATATATATATTTATATATACTGCTTATATACCATAGATATATACGCAATCACACATTCTACAAACAGAGGTGGGAAGTAACTAACTTCAGATGTGTGCAGATCCTTTTAAAAGGGTTAACCCACACAAGGCTCCTGGACCTGATGGCATCCCCTGCCGTGTTCTCAGGGTGTGTGCAGTTCAGCTGGCAGAGGTGTTCACAGACATCTTCAACAGGTCCCTGCTGCAGTCTGTAGTCCCCACATGCTTCAAACACCCCACTATCATTCCTGTCCCCAAAAAGACAAAAATCACCAGCCTCAACGACCACCGCCCAGTAGCACTCACCTCCATCATAATGAAGTGCTTTGAGCGGTTAGTCAAAACCTTCATCACCTCCTCCCTCCCTGACTCTCTGGACCTCCTGCAGTTTGCCTACAGAGCAAACAGGTCCACAGACGACGCCATAGCCCACCTGGAGCAGAGGAACACATATGTGAGAATGCTGCTCATTGATTACAGTTCAGCCTTCAATACCATTGTGCCCTCCAAGCTGGTCATCAAGCTCAGAGACCTCGGGCTCAACAGCGCCCTCTGTGACTGGATCCTGAACAAGAAAGCTCGACAGTGGCTCTTCTTCCTCCGCAGGCTGAGGAGGTTCAACATGGACTCCAGGATACTCTGCAACTCCTACAGGTGCACCATAGAGAGTATCCTGACCTTCTACAGGTGCACCATAGAGAGTATCCTAACCTTCTTCAGGTGCACCATAGAGAGGATCCTAACCNCAAAGCGCAGCCCGTAACAAGGTGATTTTAACCAATGCCCGACGTTTATGTAGTTGCACGTGGTGATAAACTTTCCGTAGTGACGGGCTTGCCCATTCATACGTGGCCATGGTTTTCTTTTTTCTGACTTCACCCGTTTGGGTTTGAGGCGATCGCTAACATTCGTGAGTGGTGAGCGCGTTTTTCAGTCTGGCTCGGTTTCGATAATGTTTCGCGGTTTATACGGAGCTACACGGTACAATCGTTTACGCGATGGACCGACCATAGACGATCGGAGAACCAGGCCTCGCGTCGAGGTGCGTCGTCCTCGGCCGCCCCGCGCGCGCGGCTAGACGGGACACCGCCGTCTCGTCTACCTCGTTCATGCAAAAGCAACTCGTCTCTCGGTCCACCTGTCTTTGTCCGTCATCCTTGTACGTAACTGCGAAACCAAAATGTTCCCAAACCGGAGACTTCAATGATGCTGGAGGATTTTCGAGCTCAACTTTATCTGCGTTTGCCATTTCGACAGTTCCTCAAATTACTGACTACATTTGAACGCATCCCTGTGACCAGCTCTCATAGTATGCCTCTCGTCCAATGAAATGACTTGCTCGCTCTATGACGCGTTGAACCCAATGTGAGCAAATTACTCTGAATGCTGCGACACATCACCTGAGATTACTTCCAAAAAGCTGTTCACGTTCTCAATTTTTTACGTTTAACGTTATATTAGTTCAGTACACTTCGGTACACACGTGTAGCAAACCGAAGGGCCCGGAATAATTTCGGTACGGGTACTTGTACCGTTACACCCCTAAGGGCTACATAAGGTTTGTACAGTCAGTACTGGGTTGTTAGTGACTCTTATCAGTCTGAAATCATTATAAAAGGAATAGTTTGCTACCTTCGTTGACAAGGAAACGGGTGTAGATGAGCAGCCAGTAGCGATACTCCTGTGCTGACTGCAAAGTCAGAGCAGACGCCAGCTGATTCTCCAGGAAGGCTAACGTCATGCTCTGTTGCAGGTGGTGAGGGGTGGAGGAGAGGCGGGACGCCAGCCGACCAGCACTGCAGGGACCACAGACATGTTCTTTATTTACTCATTTATTACCTTTCACCTGGAGATAGAAGGGGGGGATTAAATATTGCTGTCATACTTGAGGTTGCGTCCCTGCATGACAGCCAGTGGCCCTGAGGACACAGGTGCATCCTGGGTAGGTAGGCAGCTCCTGAAGTCAGCACACTGGACCATAGAGTCTCCTTTATCCGCTATTAACGTCCTGTAAGAGAGACAGTATAATTATTTAAGTTTACTCATTCACTCGGGGGGGGATTGAAAAGGGGGCATTGGGGAGTTCTTGGTGGTGTGTTTGTGACGCTCTATGGAGGATTATAAAGTTATGGCAGATAGCCCTCAGCCAGTGTCTAATCATTCAAAATGACCTTCATTTATTTTATATGACTGACAAAATCTGAACGTTGACACGAACCTCTTACTGTCACATAATAAGCAAAACAGATTAACATTGGCTACCGCCATTGGCACATGTCATCTTACTGATGTGCCGATGGCGGAAAATATGGCTAACATCGGCAGATGCCAATATCACAACCTTTTCCCCAATGATAAATGCTATCCATCACTTTTAGCTAGCTATTTGAACTGTTCTTCATTGCGTTTCGGTAGCAATTTCAACGGTTTAACCATCACTGTTAAAAAGATTTATTTATTACATTTAGCCAACTCTTCGAACTGTTGATGCTTTTAGCTAGTTTTTAAAACATTTATCCATTACTGGAAGCTAGCTATTTTAACTGTTCTTCTTTGCGTTTCGCTGGCTTTTCAACTGTTTACCAATTACTTTTAGCCAACTGTTACAAAAGTGTGTCTATAACTTGTAGCTAGCTATTTCAAACGTTTTTTCTAGCCTTACTTTTAGCAAAGGGTTTTTTCTACCCTTACTACCAGCAAATCCTGGTTGGGAATCAGCGCTGTCAGTCCACTCTTTAGTGTCTCACCATGTCTCCAGTGAGGAGCTGAAGCAGTAGGACTTTCCGTTGGAGAGTCCAACGACTGGAACGCCCTGCTGGGTCAGCAGAGACTGAGACACTGTGGTGTCAGCACCTAAACACAAAACAAAATGTGTTCAAGGGTAGACAGCATGACTGCATTTTCCATACTCACTGAAATTGTATTTTATAAAAGTTCAATCATATAAATAAAAATGTGGTTTTGAAGCCATCTTCATGTGAAAGAATGTATTTTTTACATTCATTAAGAAGATTCCAATAAAACATATTGAATGTACTTGAATAGGTTAACATTTTAATAACTACAAAAGTTTGATATCCATCTCATGTATGCAAGTTAAACAGAGCTAGGTTCATGATGTGGTTAGCCTAGCTTAGCATGTAGATTGAAAGCAGGGGGATCTGTTAGCCCGGTTCTATACAAGGAAACACCTCTACTTTAGTTTTGCTCTAATTGGCAGTTATAACAGTAAATTAACTAACACTTGACAGAAATGAAAAAAAGTAGGGTGCTGGAACTATTTGTCAACACTTATCACACAGGCATGAGATTGATATAGTCAACCTTGAGTCCCACAATGTTGAATGCTCTGTGTCAATCCCATTCTGCAGTGTCTTACCTGGTAAAATGCTCAGCAGAGACTCGTTCTTCACCAGAGCCTTTTGTTTATGAACATCCCTGCAAACAGACAGAAAACAAATGAACATCTGGATAACAATCATCATAATGCCTAGAACAATCTAGCACATGTGATCTCCAACAGAATGTATCCGGGCTCACCAGACAGACAGCGCAGCCCCAGCCGTCAGAGCCATGACAAAGTGGGCCGAGCAGTGCAGAGCTGACACAGGCGTGGCCAGCTGAATGGCAGGAAGCAGCCGCCGCCCACAGGAAGAAAACACTGACAACATCCTGTCCTGACAGGCAACGGCGAGGATGTCACTGAGGGAGAGAAGAGTCAGAGATGTTGTTTTATTTATTTACAAAATCAATTAATAGTCCAGTTGCCAGCCTATAGAGTCCTATGGCGAACTCGGAAATGTTGAGTACCCCAAAGCTTTATGTAAGAAATGTCTGGTACAGGTCCCCAGCAGATAGAAACTGCCAGATGCTAACTTGTTGGACAATTTGCGCAATTAGCATAAATTGCATAAATTACCATTTGCAGACAATATCTAAATAATTGCTTGGCCAATTTGGAAAGTGTTGGTGTAGTTTTGGAGGTTATTGAAGACGTTGAATCATTATTATGATCAAAGTGCCCTAACACTTTAAAATCAAACCAAAATTCATCTACATCAGCCCCTCGGGAGTACACATATGGCCACTTTCTTGTTAAAACTGACATTTCTATATCTTGGAATTGTCAGAGATTGATCCAACATCCTCATTAACCTCCAAAACCACACCAACATTTTCCAAATCAGCCATGCCATTTTGTAGCTATTAGTTGCATATGCTTATTAATGCAATTTATGCCAATTGTGCAAATTGGCCAACCTATGCAAGTTAACATTAGGCAGTTTATTTGTGCTGGGGACCCGTATTATACATTTCTAACACAAGACCTTTGGGTTACTCAACATTTCCCAGTTCACAATGCTGGCAAGTAGACTACAATGAAAGACAGCTGAGTGTGTGTGTGTGACGCGCTGAGCCTCGTACCTGCTCCCTGCAGCAGTGACCACTGAGCTGGGCAGCAGTGTGTTCCAGTCCCGTCCGTCTCTGGAGCATCGCAGCTGGCTGAGCTTTGAACCCGCAACTACCGACACCTCGTTCTCCACCTCCAGGAACATAGATGGCTCCATGCTTACCTACACACACACACACACACACACACACACACAAGTTTCAGCGTTTCCGTCAAAAGAAATTCAATTTACCAGACAGATGGGAGATACTCTGGACGAATGTTATCTGCGTTTGTTATCGAGTTATTTAATTGATAAAAAGGGATATTAAAGAATGACATAATCAAGGCATGTATATTATTTATATTTATATAGAGACATTTAAGCCTGCATAACTGCTGAGCTATCTGTACCGAGGTGCGCCTATGAGGCACCAGTTATGGCTAGTTTGAAAGGATATGCAACTTGTCCCATGTCAGGGTCTAAGGACAGAGGGGGTCGTATTCTACGGTGGAGAGAGTCAGCAGCTTCAGGTTCCTCGCTGTCCACATCACTGAGGACCTGACATGGACTCATCACACAAACACCATCACCAAGAAAGCTCGACAGCGGCTCTTCTTCCTCCGCAGGCTGAGGAGGTTCAACATGGACTCCAGGATACTCTGCAACTCCTACAGGTGCACCATAGAGAGTATCCTGACCTTCTACAGGTGCTCCATAGAGAGGATCCTGACCTTCTACAGGTGCTCCATAGAGAGCATCCTGACCTTCTACAGATGCTCCATAGAGAGTAGGGCTGCACGATATTGAAAAAAACTGACATTGCGATATTCTTTTCCCCTGCGATATATATTGCGTTTTTTTTAACTATATTTAACCGGATGAAGGATTTTAGTCACAGACGTCTGGATCTTAACTGGTTGACTCATCATACCTTAAGTCATGATCACATGTCATGATAATGCAGGTTGCTTACCCTCAAATAAGGGGGTTCATCTGTGAATGAAGAAGAGTGGTGTCTAGAAGGGATCCAAGAGATTAAACGTATAACATTAAACTATAGGAAGCTTCATTATCACATTAGGGAATTAATGTCACTCCACTCAAGTACCCCTGACATGAGAGCCGCGAAAGTTTTCCTTTTGTAGCAAGCAGCAAAATAATTGTAAAATGACGTGTGAGTTAATTTACCTACTTAATATCGAACGCCCTAATAGAGAGGATCCTGACTGGCTGCATCACGGCCTGGTACGGTAGTTACACCCTCAACCGTAAGACTCCACAGAGGGTGGTGAAANTGATTTTAGTAGTGATTTAAAATAAATCTGTGAGGCCATATTGACACTGTGTTTTACTATGTAGATTCATCGGTCCGAGCACAGTGTTCGGGTCAAGCAGTAAGCTGGCCAACGTGGAGCAGTGGAGGTGTGTCACCATCCTGAGGAACCACACCGGAGGTAATACACAAAACACAATTAAATATATGTACTCGAACACAATACTTCCAAAAATGCATTAAATAATTGAAGCAAGCGGCGAAAACCCACAGTAACACAAAATAAACCACATTAAGACACATCACAGACCTTCTGTATTACTCACTGATATCTTAACTTGTGCTGCTGCTAGATATTCCCGTCCTCTGTTAGAAGGTGTAGGTGACCGACGGATGATGAAGAATGGCTGTCCATAGTCTGTTACCAACTGTATTAATTCTTCAGTATGAAGAGTAGGAAATGAACATGTAGAATATGTGTGGTAACTGTAATGCAAAGACAAAGCAGGGGGGAAAAAAATACCTTTTTATAGTAAGGGGATGGCAAGTAGCAATGTTTTGGGTTTTCCACCTCAACACACAGTAAATCTGATTGAAAAGCACAATCAGGTGGCCTATGCTGCCCTCTATTGGCCACAGGCCAATATAGAATAGCGGTGTAAATGTAGGATTACTACCCATTACCAATAGTGGCGAAGTCCCTCCCCTTCCGGGGGACCTCCATGGGACCTTATTTTGGAAAAATCCTGTATTGAAGTCAATGGAGAGAGAAAGATTATCTTTTGATTCTCTTTGAATTGTGCAAAAAATTACACATATGATGTTTGTCAATTTAAAAGATAATTTTGCAAGTCAAAAAAATAAAAATGTGTCGTAAAACTGTGAAGTAACACATTTTTTTGTGTGAAGCGCTCAATTAACTACATCTCTGGTTTTGCATACGTCACCAACACCAAGATGGCCGTCACGTTAGCACATTTCACTTCTTTCTTTCAGAATGAGGTGAAAAGTATTAAAAGAGGTGAAAATCACTACAAGTCTGGGCATGTTGAGAACTGTACATACACACAAGGGGAGTTAGTCGGTTCCGTAAGAGCCAGCATGCGGGACCGGGATTCTGGGATTTGTAGTCTTTCTAGTTGCATATTTTTCATAGTCTTATATTTCAACAGTTTTACGACAAACTGTGACTTTCTTGACGTGGAAATTATTTTTTAAGATTGACAAACATCATATGTGTAATTCGCGGTACAATTCAAACGGGATCGAAAGATAAGTTTTCTCTCTCCATTGACTTCAATACATAATTTTTCATAAATAAGGTCCCATGGGTCGGAAGTAGATGGGTGTGACTTCGCCACTCTATGGTCATTAACTCACAAGTAATCACACATAATCAAATAAGAACAATGTAGTCTATGGAATGACCAAAATGTGTGAACAAAAATTGGCCCTGCACTTAACTTAGCTATACATTATGCAAGCAAACATAATATCACTGAACATGTTGAGTCCACTCCCCATGTTGCCTCGTAGTCTGCATGGCATGGCTAGCTTAGTGGCTGTTGCTAACTGCCATATGTTGCACAGTAAGTGCTATATATAGAACGTAAATTCACCAAAAACTCAACTGAACTGTCTACATACTTTGCCATGAACGCAAACGCATGTCCACAAGACAAAAAACAAAGCTAGTGACTCTCAGTCAACAGTACGATTGTGCATGTATTTGCAATCCAGTACTTAACAGGTGCGGTATGGATGAGTCCGTTAATGCTTCTGGAATGGAGATAATGTGGAAAAGTCCAAGTTTCTGGAACAGCGGGGGGTTTATACAGTGTGTGTGTTTTTGTTTATAGATGTGATGGACGTGGCGTGGTCTCCTCATGACGTGTGGCTGGCCTCCTGCAGCGTGGACAACACCATCGTCATCTGGAACGCTCGCAAATTTCCAGGTGGGACAATTCCCAGAGCTAACCTCTGCAGCCTCAAAGCTGGAAACAATTTCTTTATTTTTAGGATAATAAAAAGAAAACATGTTCCACAGAGCAGGAAGACTTCTCCCTTATTCTTGTCTGTCTTCTGTGTGTCCCCAGAGATGGTGACATGTCTGCGAGGACACACTGGGCTGGTTAAAGGTCTGACGTGGGACCCGGTGGGGAAATACATTGCCTCCCAGGCCGACGACCACAGCCTCAGAGTGTGGAGGACAATGGACTGGCAGATGGAGGCCAACATCACCAAACCCTTCAGCGAGGTACAGAAACTCGTGAGCTGTGTGTGATGGTGTTGTTGGAGCAGGTGGTTGAGTATGAAAGGTGTACCTTACAACTTATTAACTTGGTTTTTATTTCTGTTTAATTATACAAATAACTATGCCCACTTTTCGCAACGGTTTTCATTCGGCTGTATCTACAAACTAATTCATTGGATGAAAACCTCAAACTTTATTTCCCAAATATGATATTTCATAATATAGATTTTAATTTTTTAACAAAAATTAGGACAGAAAAAGAAAGCGAGCTTGCGTGTGTCATTGTGTGAGTGCAGTGTTTCCCCTACCATTATCTTGGAGGGGAGCTGCGCCCCGCCAACGGAGCCCCGCGCCCCCCCTGAAATTCAAGGTGTTTAAATAAAAAATTATAATTTCTTTTTATTTATCCTTTTTTAATATATATAGCACCAAATTGCAACTAATCTATATCTACTGTCACTTTTCACATTGAACATGTGCTCTTTTATTATATTTGTAGTGTTTTTGACCCTAAGAAACACTGATGCACCCCCCAAAAGCAGGAAACCTAGGGGAAACACTGGAGTGTGTCACTGCCAGTTTGGGAAACCAAAATCCACCCACAGCACAGTCATAATCCCTAGATTGACACCACCTTTGTGATATTTGAAGCGGAAGTGCATCAGAATAAAAGGCTAACACTAGCCTATAACAGAACTCTATCACAGTTGCATGGCTGCGAATCACCACTGTTAAGCTAAAGGCGGTTAGTGTTCAGCATGATAAAGTTTAGAAGTCTCAAGTCTTTTTTTGATCACACGGAAGCTTCACACAATCAACGGTGGGGTATTTACTGACATATTTAATGTCGTAGAACAAAACGTGAACATTTCTACAGCTTGTGTTAAACACAGATCTTATTTCAGGTATCCAAAAACACACGTAAAAAAACAAATTAAATAATTTCCAGGTTTAAGGACTCATTCCTGCACCACTCTATCACATAGAAACACACTCTATTTTTGTATGTAAGTGTTTACCCAATTTGCCTCGTCTGTGCATTCATCCACACCCACAGTTCACCAATGAGGGTTTGAATAATTTTCTCTGGTCTCTCTCTGTGTGTCAGTGTGGTGGGACGACCCACGTCCTGCGTCTGTCCTGGTCTCCAGACGGTCAGTATCTGGTGTCGGCTCACGCCATGAACAACTCCGGTCCCACCGCTCAGATCGTGGAGAGAGATGGCTGGAAAACTAATATGGACTTTGTCGGCCACCGTAAAGCTGTCACAGTGGTGGTAAGGACGTTTTAGACACATGATCAGACTTTTAAATGTAAACCAATCGTATCTGCAACTTGAAAATATTTGGTTTCTTTCTCTGTAGAAATTTAACCCAAAGATCTTTAAGAAGAAACAGAAGAACGGCAGCGCTCAAAAACCTGGGTGTCCGTACTGCTGCTGCGCTGTCGGCAGCAAAGACCGGTCGCTCTCCGTCTGGGTATGTTCACACTTTGGTTAATGTTATAAAATGGCAATATGTTTAAATCGGTACCAGGGATGCAGGTTCCTCAGTCAAGCTGCAGATATTTCGGCTTGCTTTTGTCTAGAGCTGCACAATTAATAGATAATTTTTTACCCAATTTGCAGTATGAGCAATATTTGGCAAAGGGAAAATATGATTTTGTAATTACAACTGTGGTGTTGCAAGGAAGTCTTGGTCTAAACACAGCACTCCACAGATCCTCTTAGAAATCACACCATGTCTTGTCTTTATTTGGATCCATTAGGAGCATTGTCTACGTTTCCTTGGGTCCACACACGTTACATTTTTTTTTTACATTTACACCCTGTTGCCAGATAAACATAACAAACAATAACAAACAAAACGGCTAATATCATGTTATTAACAGTCAAGTGTGGAAGTACGTTGCAAACACGCTAAAACGGCCCAAAACACTCCCATTAAGAGATACGCACTGCAGTTTCAAAAAATGATGCAGATGGGAAAACACAAATGTGCCGAAAAGCATGCAAAGCCATCCGTCAACTTGAGCAAACGTTTGCTAAAAGCGCTGCATAAACGAAACGCTGCAAGAAGACGCTAAAAAGTGACGCACACAGCTGGGACCGGAGCGCTTGTTGATGATCTGAGATTATATGGTGGTCGCACTGTCACTGTTGGCAGAGTTAGCTGTTTTGTAATTGTAAGTTTTGTCAGTATATTTAAAATGACTATGTTAGCTACGTTAGCTAGCTAGCTTACAGCAGATCTGCAATAAAATCTAAAGGAATCATGCGATCACATTGTTAAACTAAGACAATTAAACTTAGGTACCCTTGAAATGACAGGGTTTAAACAAAATGTATGGACATGCAAGAAAAAAAAAAATTAATCATTTCAATATCCATTTAATGAATAAAGCTTCAAACTATTTGGTTCAGCCGTAGTATTTTATTTAAATGATTTTGCAGTATATAGATCTTAAATATGTAAAAGTAACCAGTTAGATTATAAAGCTTTCTGTCTGTTGCTCTTCTTCAGCTGACCTCTCTGAAGCGCCCTCTGGTGGTCATCCATGATCTGTTTGATAAATCGATTATGGACATATCCTGGTGAGTTGTGTTGGTGTTGGGATCAGGTTCAAACCCCACTGCAGTCAGCATGTCGTTGTGTCCCTGAGACACTTCACCCCAAATGGCTCCTGTGGGGATTGCCCACAGAAGTCGCTTTGGATAAAAGCGTCTAACAAGTGACGTGTGTGTGTGTGTGTGTGTGTGTGTGTGTGTGTGTGTGTGTGTGTGTGTGTGTGTGTGTGTGTGTGTGTGTGTGTGTGTGTGTGTGTGTGTGTGTGTGTCAGGACTCTGACAGGTCTGGGGATGTTGGTGTGTTCGATGGACGGCACTGTGGCCTACCTGGACTTCTCACTGGATGAACTGGGAGACCCACTAAACGAGGAGGAGAAGGTTAGACACTCATCATGGAATCACATCTGGCTGCAAACACGAACTTAGTTATTTAGCTTAACAGAGTGGTGCAGTCATGACGTATTTTTGTAGGCTGGCTCGCAAACTCATTCCCAGGTTTTAGGACTCGTGCTTAACTTATAAACAAATAACTTCAATTAATCTAGATTAAGCCTTTGTGGAACTTTGCTGTTTTTTCTCTTTTTCTGTTGACTGTTATAAAAATAAAGTTAAACAAGAAAACATCTTGGTTTTGCCTTAAAATGTAATTTTTTTTCTATCAAGAGAAGCACCAAACCAAAGAAAAATGAAAAAAAAAATGAACCTGCCCAACCTTGTTACGTCGGCTTTTATTTCCCTTCCTTTCTTTTGTCTCTAATTTGTTGTCTTGTTGGATGCTGTCCTTTCCTCCATCCTTCTATCAAGCCCAAATAAGAACAATTTCCTGTAATTTCTCTGACATACAGAACAGCATCCATCAGAACATCTACGGTAAGAGTCTGGCCATAACCAGCACAGAGGCTCAGCTCTCCACCACCATCATCGAGAACCCTGAGATGCTCAAATACCAGCAGGAGCGCCAGAACTCAATCCAGGCCAACTCAGGACCGGGCAGCGCCGGGCCAGAATCCTCGGCCCCTAAACTCAACAGCATGATGAACGGAGAGTCTCTCGAGGACATCAGGAAGGTGGGACACTAGATTGAAACATCCCACAAGCTGCACAAAGTGTTGAGTTGGTTCAGGATACAAACTAAGATTTTCATTGAATTAATCTTTTTTTTTCTTCATTTGTGTCTGATTTTCATACCAATATTTTAGAAAAATATATATTCACAAAATCAAGTTTCAGAATCTGCAAAGATTAATAAGATATAAAAAAAACACTCAATTTCATCTAAATCCTATTTGTATCCAAATCTATTTATAACTTTGGGTTAAAGGGGCCCTATTACATCTTTTGGAGTTTTCTCTTTGTATGTTAATGGTCTGCAAAGACTACAATCCCAACGTTCCCTCCAGAGGGAGCTTCTCTCCCAAATGTTTATATTTATATTTAGATAGACAATACAGAGAGATTAGATAAAGATTATAAAAACGTTTTAGAAATAAAAGATAAATATCAATGACTACTATTTCAGGACTGTATTTTCAATGGTTGGCAAAATACATATTTTTGGAGCTTACATTTTCTTGGACTTATGTTGTCGTCTTGCAGACCCTCCTGAAGAAACAGGTTGAGACGAGAACTGCAGACGGACGAAGACGAATCACACCGCTCTGCATTGCTCAGCTGGACACTGGGTAGGGAAACGATCATGTCAACTTAAAGATATATATATATATGTATGTGTGTGTGTATATACACACACATATATATTTATATATATATATATACACACACACAATTTATTGTTAAGTAAATGTAGAAACCTTAAGTGCAAAATAAACAATTTAACATAATTTCCCATTTATGCAAAAATGCCAAATATTTAATAATTAAAATATATATTATTCTTTTTTTTTTAAAGTGGATGATTGAGTACATTTGTTAAAAATACTAATACTATTGTGGAAATACATTGTCCATTTTGTCAAAGTTATTGTAATTATTATTGTTTAAATCCCTTATGGGCTTCTTCACTGAGAGCTCTACACTCAGCATGTTTAGAAAACATGCAGAGGAGAAAGCTCACCAAACAGTTTCTCTTTCTGTGCAGGGATTTCTCTCCCGCTCTGTTCAACAGCGCTCCCATCCTGCCGTCGGGCTCCTCCATGTCCAACCAGCTCACCTCCCAGCTCAGCTCAGACTCCAGCCCAGGGCAGGCCTCTTCTCTGGGGCTTCGGCCCATCCACGACCCCATGCTCACCTCGCCTCCACCCAACAGCGCCACGAAGGGCCTGGAGGACGGGTACAAGCTTTTTTTTCTTTTCTTGTTTTTTTTTATAGGCTTGTACAATTCCTAACTGGAAAGCTCGCTCTTTTGAACACATAAATGCAACAAAACAAAACAAATGATCAGTTTATAATGTGATGCTATTGCACTATTTCTTAATGCTCTTTATGTTTTTCATGTTTGTAAAGAACTTTGAATGTACCTATATATATATATATATCATTTAACTTGCCTTGCATTATATGCTGCTTTGGTTATCTCACACACTTTTTCCTCAAGACCCAAAAGCAGAACACTCTATTCATACTTTGAGAACTGGGTTTCTGGTGGCTTCCCCAATCCAGTCTTAACCCTCCTGTCATCTTCTGGTCAAATCTGACCGATTCATTACTTCCATCAATTGTAAAGTTGTGTTTTACATTTGATTGCTTCGAGGCCTTATGATATCCTCCAAAGTAGGCATTTGAAGATAAAAACAAAATGCTGATCACAACTTTCATTGAAGTGTTTGTGTGTAGTCAACTTGTAACGCCTATGATGTTTATTTCTGGTCAAAAGCGACTGCCATAGGAAATGAATTGGTAACCCTAGATGATATTCCTCCATCAGCTAGTACACACCCACATTTGACAAATGTTCTGTGTATATTCTTTGTAGGTATTCGTGTAAATCTGTACTCTGAGACATTGTTTGCAGCTTATAAGTGTGTTAAATAGAATTTGGTGAAGATTAATGTTTTTTGTGCTAATGTAAGAGCAGTTAAAACAGACAAAACACCAAAGTAAGGAAGGAGAAACAAACATGACAGGAGGGTTCATGTCTGTTTCCTTGCATTCCAGTCTGAAGTCCAGTCTGCTGCTCACTTCTGCCTCCAAGATCGAGCCGATGAAAGCTTTGGACTCAAGGTTCACAGAGAGGTCAAAGGCCACAATGGGGGTCACAGCCGTCATCTCCTCCATCTCTGGACTCATGCCTCTGGACAGGTGATTGACTCAAGTGGTACAGTGTGAGGATAAAAAAAAAGCTCAAAGATGACGTAGAAAACAAAATCTTGACTTATTTTTATCGTCAACCAGCAGGCCCAAAGACGGCCTCTCCGCTCTGAAAGACTTGAAATCCAAAGACGACACCAGCAGCGACAGTGAAGACAAAATGGCCTCGATCAACAAAAACCTGATGTTGGGCAAGAGGAAGCCCGAGCTGCTGATAGATGTAGGAGAGGTGGTGGAGAAGAGGAAGAAGGGACGGCCCAGGAAAGACAAGATGGCTGCACCCACCGCCCAACCATTCACTCAGGTAACGAGATGGAGGGAAAGATTGAAAAGATTGAGATTACAAATGAACTTGTTAATCAATGAGAACTAAGAGAACCATTCATTTATTTTATAAAACACCATGATTAAACCTTGGAAAAGAGATAATAAACTGAGAGTTCCCTTTTCCTGTCAGATAACTCCCACAGCAGAGCGGGAGCCAAGCAGGGTGGCAGCTCCACCTCCTGTAGCTGCTCTCAAACTGCCAACACCCAGTATAAAGAAGACCTTCAGTCTGCAGGTAACATGCTGTTCTGTGTGTGTGTGAGTGTGTGTGAGACAGACCTGGCTAGATTACCACTATGTTCAGATTTTAGGTTTGCAATCAGCTGTGAAAGTGCTATTTCATATCTAGTTTCTTTGAAAACAGCGTCACTTTAAACTCATTCGTAAGTCTTTGATCTGTACAAATTCTCCGCTCAGGCAATGCTTTATATATAAATGTCAGCGTTTCCATAAAGCCGGTATATATCGGAATAATCAGTAGAAGCCCGGTAAAAATAATATGCTGTAAGCACAATTCAGAGTGTATTCAAAAAAGTATGAATGGACAAGTTGGCATCAATCAATCTATCAAAGTGTATTTATATATCCCAACATCACAAATGTTACATTTGTCTCGGGGGGGCTTTACAGGTTCAAGGTTCTTTATTTTTCATACCAACATAGCTACAGTGTAGTTATGCTGATGACAATCTTGTCACAGGCTTCTCCAACAGAGCAACACAAAACACAGAAACAGAAAAATATAGTGCAAGTAAATAGTAAATACAAGAAGAAAAAAGTGAAATAGTGCAATAAGAGTCTATATGCAAGTCATTGAAATATGATATATTAGGTAAATAGATACATATTTTTTAAGTAGCAGCCAGATGAATATTGTGGATGTTGTTTCAACAGTTCAGGTGTTTAACAGTCTTTTGGCCTGTGGGATGAAACTGTCCCTGAGTGGTGGTTTTAGTCGTGATGCTGCGGTAACGCCTGCCAGACGGCAGCAGACAGAACAGTTTGTGGCTGGGGTGATGGGGGTCTTTGATAATCCTGAGGGCTTTCTTCCTGAGCCGCTGGGAGTAAAGGTCCTCCATGGATGGCAGCTCCGTCCTGGTGATGTTCTGTGCTGTTTTCACCACCCTCTGTGGAGTCTTACGGTTGAGGGTGTAACTACCGTACCAGGCCGTGATGCAGCCAGTCAGGATCNCATAAATGATCGTGGTGAAGATGATGATTAAATTAGGATTAAAAATCGGTGATTTGTTTTTATATCACATCCGACGGGAGGAAATTCAGCAGCTCTCACTACCGATTTTTAATCCTAATTTAATCATCATCTTCACCACGATCATTTATGTTTATGTTCGCCGAATTGACATGAATGAAATATGAATATACTGTAGTCAACTTCATTAAAACGTTATTAACGTGCCTAAACTCAGTAATTCACAATTTCTACGCATGACAACACACTTTGTCCGTGTTTGGCTCTCTCGCCGCACAGTGAAGCATTCCCGCATTGACGTCACTTCCGGCTTCCCCCAAAACGTCAAAATGAGTCAAAGGAATTGCCCCGCGATGTTCGAAATTATTGATATTTATTGGAACGGTATCGCACCTTCTTTTTTAAGATTATGGTTCGAGATGACTAGTAGCCCAATATTTCATTGCACAACAGTTGTTGGGAGGCTGCCACAGGCTCTTTAATGTCACAAGCTTGACCTCGGCAAACCCCAGGGCTGAGTTAGCGAGCCCAAGCCTTGACTCATCAAGGCGGCCGCCACCAACGCTGTCCTCCGAGGCACAGCTCCTTGTGCCCCTACCATCTCAGGGCTCTACAGTAACGGTTGCCAGGTTGCCATTGGCAACCATTCAGAAAAAATGTCAACCACTTCTTGGCCTTTGGTTGCCATCAGTGGCAACCAGTTTTTAACATAAAGAAATAAGGACAGCAAACAGCTAAATGTGCACCCCAAAATAGATAAATGTTAATTATTTGTTTT